CGCCCCGCGGTGCCTCGGCCTCGACGCGCCCGCGGCGCTGGCGGCGCCGCCGCCGCCGGCGACGGCGCCCGCGCCCGCGGCGCCGGCGCCGCGCGCGCCGGCGGGCCGCGTCGACGCCGCGGCCTGGGAGCGGGCCTGGCGCGGCGCGACGGCGACGCCGCTCCTCGACGTCGTCTCCCTCGACCACCCCTACATCACCGTGTCGACGCGGGGCGCCGGCCGGCCGCCGCCGCCGCTCGACGCCGTCTTCGACGCGGCCTTAGCGTCGCTCCGCGGCGCGGCCGGCGGCGAGCCGCGGGCGTCGCGCTGGGCCTACAAGGCCGCGGCGCACCCGTCGGAGCGGCTCCTGCACGTGACGCTCGGCGGCGCCGTGGTCTGCGCGTCCAAGGGCCGGCCCCACAAGTCCCAGAAGGCCATCGTCACCGCGGACCCGGTCTCCGGCGCGTGCTGGCAGCGGTGCTGGGACGCCGCGGACTGCTCGACGGTCGCGGCCAACGCCGCGGGCGGCGCCGTGGCGCTCGCGAACAAGCGCCGGCTCCCGGACGTCCCCCGCGCGGACTTCAAGGCGCTCCTCGACTACGAGCGCGACTTCCACGCGGGCGTCGTCGCGCGCCGCGACGCGCCCGCGCCGCCCGCGCCGACGTGCGGCCACGGCAACGGGCCCGACTGCGCGGCCTGCGCCGCGCTCCAGGCCCGGGGCGCCGGGACCTAAGCGGCGGCGAATTAAAAACCGACCCCGCGCGCGCCGTCACATCCAGCCGCAGCGGGGCGTCTTCGCGCCCTTGTCGACGACGAAGGCCGGCGTCGTCGCCGGCGCGTTGAGGAAGTCGCAGACGGCGTCGACGCGGCGCGCGGCGGCGGCGAAGGTGCCGCCGTTGACGTAGTGCTTGTGGTGGATGACGTGGGTCGCGCCGAAGAGGGGCCAGTCGCAGGAGTGGCGGCTCGGCGGGTCGCGCATGTTGAAGTTCATCGGCAAATACCCGAAGTCGAGCTTGTAGGCCGCGCGCTTCGCCTCGCAGACGTTCGAGGACGCGAAGAGCCGCTCGAGCGCGTACTGGTCCGCGCCGAAGTGGCCGTCGCGGCCGCCCGCCTTCCACGCGTCGCCGTCGGCGTACTTGCGGTAGACCTGCGAAGGGGGCGCCGCTCGGGGAACGAAGCGCGGCGGGACGCGGGGCCGACGTTGACGTAGGTCTCGAGCCAGCCGTCGACGAACTTCGCGAGGCCCTTGGTCCGCCGGTCCGCGAGGATCGCGCCGCCCTGGGCGCCGGGGCACCAGAGGCTCGCCTTGGCGTGCGCGTCGGCGCAGGCCGCGTGGAGCGACGCGCCGTCGACGGTCTCGCCCGCGCGCTTCGCCGCGTCCTTGGCGCCGCGCCACGCGCACGCGGCGACGTCGCGGAGCTTCGCGGGGTTGATGCCCGTCGACGGCGACGAGAAGGGGTGCGCGCGGAGGGCGGGCCCCTTGCGCAGGCCCGCGAGGCGCCGGAGCGACAGCTCGAGGCCGCCCGCGCACGCGTAGGTGTCGTCGTCGAGAAATAAGGTGACGTCGAACGGCGCGCGCGCGAGGTTGTAGATGCGCCCGAGGCGCGAGTTCACGAGCGTGCCCGCGTCGCGCGCCCAGGCCGCGAGCTTGCCGTCGCCGCGCGCCTCGAGGGCCGCGAGGAACGCGGCCTCGCCGTCCGGGAGCACCGCGTCGAAGAGCCGGAGGCCTCTGAGCTCTCCCGCGCCCGGCGCCGCCAAGAGCTCGCCGACCGCGGCGGCGAGGAGCGGCGCGGCGAGGTCCGTGAAGAGGCAGCTGCTCACGTTGTGGCGCAGGCGGACGCTGCCCGCGGAGAGCACGAGGTTCCGCAGCTCGAGCGCGTCGGCGCTGCGGTTCGCCTCGCCGCGCCGAGCCTTGGGCTCGCGCACGTCGACGCGGTTGCGCGTCCAGCAGACGCCCACGGACGGCTCCGGCGGCGGCGGCGCGGCCAGCGCGGCGACGAGGACGAGCAGGTGGTGGCGCAGCATACGCCCGGTTGCCTACTAGTAGCTCTCCATAATTATTGCTGTGAGCTGCCCGCTCTGCGTCAATACAATAGTAATACTTCAAGGCAGTGCCGAAACCAACCATAGGCGTAGGACCCCCCAATAGAAGTATTATTTATTATTCTGAGGCGGGACGCGTTACTACTCTGTACGTAGACCGCGCGCGCGCGTGGTCCGGTGAACCTCAATTTCGTTCGACCCTCGGCAAAATCGGTCGAATATATCATACCGAGTCAACCACGCCTCGTTAAATTGTCTAATCGCATCGATTCCGACGCGTTTCGGGCGCGGGTCGCGGGTTCGGGCCGGGGAACGTAGAGAGTCAACTTCAACATTGCACTGATCGTGCAAACTTTTTGACCCAGGACTATTAGGATTTTATTTTGGTTTCGGCACTGCTTCAAGGTGCCGCTCGAGGGCTCACGCCGATTTCGCCGGGAAGCTTGCGCAAAGCCTGTGAAATCCTCGGAGCTCCCGTCCTCCCGCGGTTCCTCCCGCCCCCCCTACGTTTAGAGACGCGTCACGGCAAGGGCCTCATATTAACTCGACGCCTCGCGTCGAGCTCCGACGGCCCAAAATGATCTCGCCGCGACTCCTTCTCATCGTCGCGCTCCGCGCCGCGGGCGCCGCCGCCGACTGCGACGAGGGGTACGGCGCGACGCTCTTCGAGGAGGGCAAGACGTGCGAGACCCAGGTCACGAACCTGGGGACCTTCGATACTGTGAACGAGTGCGCGGCCGCCGGCGCCGCGTTCGCGGCGGAGGAGTCGAAGACCTGCGACTACATCATGTGGTCGGACCGATTTAGCGACTGGCAGAGGAGCCAGGATACGCCTAGGATACCCGTAACGCAGTCTCACTCTGATCTGGGTTATGTTCCCGCTTTCGCGCTGTGAGCCACCGCGCTACACCTGCTAGCTGTGCGCAGCTACACCGCTGCGAGCCTGCGCGCAGAGCGCGCCGCCCGCAGCAGATCCACCGCTCGCGAGCGGCGGATAGCCCCTGGAGCCAGAGCGCGCGCCGCCGCAGAGCCCGGCGCCGCGCCGCGCTCCGGTCCAGGCCCCACCAGCGCCCGCGCGGACCGCGCGCGGCGCAGCGGCGAGGACACCAGCACCCCGCCTTCCTACAATGCCGCCGCGGACCCGCGCGGGCGCGGCCGGCGGCGGCGACGGCGGCGGCGACGACGAGCCGACGCTCCTCAGCATCGTCGAGCTGAACAAGCTCTTCAAAGACGTCGTCATCTTCACGCCGCAGAGCGGCGTCCATGACGCGAACAAGGCCCTCTTCAG